ACGGCAGTTGGGGGTATTGAGAAATTTTGTTGCATTCACTTGATGAAATATTATGCAGCATGCAGGAGCAATGATTTTGTAAATCATTACCTAAATTGGGAGGGACTGCAGAGAATTATGCTAAGTGAACTAAGTCTCATAAGGACAAATACTGTATAAGATCATTTAGAAGGGGAGGGGGAAGCAGAGGGGTGAAAATGGGCTGGGGGTGGGGAAGTTAATCATAGGGTCACACAATTTGATGGTTGGAGGGAGAAGTGGGTAAAGAAAATGGGAAAAATCTGGTGTGAAATAAAATGTGTACAAGCTTTGTAAGTAAACCAGTAGGAAATAAAAATTTTATTTTTTAAAAAGAAAAAAAAAACCAAATTTTTTTTCCAATAGAGTGAAAAGGAAGTCTATTGACTGGGAAAAAATATCTGGCAATATCATCTCAGACAGGGCCTCATAACAAAAGTTTACGGAATATTAAGGGTCTCCACAAGAAAAAGACTGATAACCCTATTACTAAATGGTCACAAGATATAGAAAAACATTTTGTAGAGGAAGAAGACATTTGAATAGCCAACTGACACATGAAAAAATGCTCAAAATCATTGGCAATAAGAAAAATGCAAAACAAACCACAATAAGATACTATATCACCCCTGTAGCAGAGACTAAGTTTAACAGGACAGTAAGCAATAAATATCGGACAACATGTGGAATGATTGGAACTCTAATACATTGCTGGGATTGTAAAATGGTACAATTACTCTGGAAGGCAAAATGCTGAACACAGAAATTCCATATTACTCACCTATTCTACTGCTTGGAATATACTCTAAGGGAATTGGAATTTATATACAAATGGAGATTTGTACACCAGTGTTCATAGTAGAATTATTCACAATAGTGATAACCTGGGATCAAGCCAAATGCTCAAAAACGAATGAATTGAGAAATTGTGGCACATTCCCATGATGGAATACTACACAGCACTCAGGAGCAATGATTGAAAATATAATATTTAATATAGGAAAGACTGAGCATTATGCTCAGTGAATTAACCAAGTCTTGTAAGGAGAAATGAGGCACAAGACCAGTATAGTAAAAATAAGAGGATAACTGGTAAAACATGTATGAAGGTCCAAGGAGGGAAAGAGTGGGAGAATAAGGGTGGATGGGGAGAAATTACAGGTTGACGTGATTTGGTATGAGGAAGGAGGAGGTGACAGAAATTAAAAAGATCTGGAGAGAACCTGAAAATATGTGGTTATAGTGGACATTGTTAAATAGTGATTAATTTTTATAAAACACAATGTATGGGATTGATTGTATGAAACAATTTGAATGAAGGAGAATGTGACACACAATGTATACAAATTCTGTATGCAAACAAATATAAAAATAATAATAACAATAATAATATAATAATAATTAAACTATGACATAGATCATGTGCATCTCAGTCTTTGACATTTTTGCTTTTTAGCAGTTGGAGAGGTCTTTGACATCAGGTTTTCCCAATGTAACACATTTTTTTTTTATTTCTTGACTGCTGATACCATGCATGTTGATTATATATCCAAGCAAAATGAAATTTATTGACAATTTTCATCTTTTCTCCATTAATTGTGATGTTGCCTATAGCTCAGTGGTGAAGATTCTTATTTTCTTGATGTAGAGATGCAATACATATTGAAAGTTTCAGTCCTGATCTTCTACAGCAAGTGTTTCAAGTCCTCTTCAGTTTCTTAAAGTTGTGTCATCAGCACAATATTGATTGTTGATGAGTCCTCTGCCAATGTTTAAGCTTCATTCTTCATAAAATCTACTTTTTATTTTCCCAGCATACAGACTGAATAGGAATGGAGAAAGGATACAAGCCTGATGAGTACCTTTCCTGGTTTTAAGCCATGCAATGTTCCCTTGTTCTGTTCAGATAAGAGTTCATTGATAGGATTCTCATGAGTGCAATTAAGCATTCTGAGATTCCCACTTGTCTCAAAGTTAACCATAAAATATTATGATCCATACAGTCAAATGTCTTCACAGAGTCAATATAACACAAGTAAACATCTTTCTGTTATTCTCTATTTTCAGCCAAGATTCATCTGACTTCAGTAGTGATATTCCAGGCTCCAAGGCCTTTTTTTAATTCAGCTTGAATTTTTGGCAGATTTCTGTTTCAGCCATTTAAAAAGTAATCTCCAGTGATATTTTTCTTGTATATGATATTAACGATATTGTTCGATCATTCCCACATTCTGTTGGATAGCCTTTTTCTGGGAATGAGAACAAATTAGGTGATAGGCTGGAAAAACTGGACATTATTTGAGACTGCCTTATAAAACATTGTGAAGAAGGCTAGTTTGTCTTCAGAAAACACAGCTTTTCCTAAGCCCCGTCTACTTTTTCAGTGTCCTCTTATTTTGTGTCTGAGCCCAAGGGGAGGGTGGGGGGAGGAAGTACGTATATTACTTTTATTTAAAGATTTTTAATGGTCTTCAGCTCCTTATTGTATAAATTCTGACTTTTATTGAGGGAAAATTAACTTTTTATGATTTAGATATTTATTTTCTCAGAAATATAACAACTTATTTTCTCCTTTTCTGAGTTTTCTGCTTCTTTTGTCCAATTTCTTTTGGGAAGAGTGGCCTATCTCCTCCAATGGGATTTACTGCTTCTGAAAACTCACTGGAGGGTCAACAATGAGTAAATTCTGACTTGATGACACAGAACAACAGCAACATTAAAGGGTGTTATCTTCATCCAAATTTCAAAGCTGCTGATAAAGAAATTAAAATTGTTAACTATACAAGAATCAAAAAATATAACATTGTTACCAATAGAGCTGATATTTAAAAAAAAAAGTCTTTCTTTTGAATAAATAAGCTTCCTACCAGTTTCTAGAATGAGACAGACATACTGGACCAGGGCCAATCTCCCCAGTATTGGACTCAAGGTGTCCTTAAGTGAAGAAGCACAGCTTCCAATGGGCAGCCTGGCTCTAGGGAGAAGTGGAGAGGAAGGAGCTAGTTATTTAAGGCCAGTTTCTCCTCCAAAATTCTTCAGTCATACCATTTCTCTTTCTCATGAAAGGATTGAGTAATCTGAATGTTGGTGGAAGAAAGGCTAGTATTATTATGCAAGAGCATATGTCATATAGCAGGATGGCAGGGTAGTGGAGAAGAAACACTCCTTATAAAACATGTTGATGTTCTGGGCTGATTTTTAATCTATGGGTATTAATCTATTTCATATGTCTTCAAAACCTTGTTTTTTCTCTCATTCTTGAATGGAGATTGTTCAATATGGTGATTTTCAGACCCAGTTCTCAGAAATTTCAGATTCTTCCCAATGGCTATTGAGGTGGGCATGGAGAGAAAAGTCCTCAATTGATGAGGCTTCAAGCTCTACCTTCCGGTCAAAATAGTCTGTCTTTCAAATATTAAGGTTTTTTTATAACATTTTTGAGCAAAAGATTTTATCAGTGGGCAAAGTGTGAAAACCTTTGCCTTATTTCAAATCCTTTTAATAATAATAACAACAGCGATCAAATGACATTTATTATGCTAAGTAATGTGTGCATGCATGTTGTTGTTGTTGTTATGTGCTGTCAAGTTGCCTGTGACTCATAGTGACCCTATGTACAGCAGCTCTGAAGCCTGCCCTGCCCTAAGCCAGTCTCACTGATTCAAACACACCTACCCCCATTGGCCCAGTAACTGTATCAAGCCATCTCATCCAGGGTCTTGCTCTCCTGCGCTGTCCCTACACTCTTCTGAGCATGATGTCCTTCTTTAAGAATCAGTCCCTCCTGGCCATGTGCCCTAAGTATGTGAGATGGAGCTTCAAAATCCTTGTCTCCAAGGCAAAACTTGGTTTCACCTTTTCTAAGACAAACCTATACATTTTCTTGGTGGTCCATGGTATGTTCAAGACACTTCTCCAGCACCACAACTCGAAGGCATCAATTCTTCTTATGCCATTCTTAGTCATCAGCCAACTCTCTGATGTACAACAATTGTGAAGACCATGACCCGGAACAGGCTCACCTTAGTCTCTAGACTGACATTGTTGCTTTTCAATGCTCTGGAGAGGTCCCTGACAGCAAATTTTGCCAATGCAATGTATCTCTTGATTTCCTGACTGCTGCTGCCAAGAGTGGTGATTGTGGATACGAGTAAGCTGTAATTCTCTTCATTCTCTTCTCCATCTGCTGCCAATTGGCCCAACGGTGAGAATCTTTGTCTTCTTGATATTGACCTCAGTCTATATTGAAGACTACAGTCCTTAGCCTTCTGCAGCAAGTGCTACAGGTCCTCCTCAGTTTCAGCAAGCAAAGTTGTGTCATCTGTGTAACATATGTTGTTCCTTAAATTCTGATGCCACATTCTGCCTCATAACGCCCATCTTCCTGAATAGTCAGTTCTACATATAGATTGAAAAGGTATGGATATAGGATGCATTCCTGATGCATTATTTTTTCAATTTTGAACCATGCAATGTTTTCTTGTTCTGTTCTGAGGACTGCTTGATGATCCTAATTTGCATAAGCACAATAAATTTTTCTGGGATTCCCATTTTCCTCAAGGTTACCCACAATTTGTTGTTATTCACACAGCCAAATGCCTTTACATAGTCAACAAAACACAGATAGATGTTCATCTGGTAGTCTCTGCTTTCTGCCAAAACCCATCTGACATTAGTGATAATGTCTCTAGCACTGCAGCTTCTTCTAAACCCAGTTTGTATTTCTGGAAGTTCTCTGTTAGTGTACTGTTCCAGTTGTTTCTGGATAATCTTCAGCAGGATTTTGCTTGCACGTGATATTGTTGAATAATTTTCATGCTCTCTCAGGTCATCTTTTTTTGGAAATAAGAATAAATATGGATCATTTCCAGTTAGTTTGCCAGTTAGTTGTCCTCCAGATCTTTTGTCAAAACGTGGTGCACGGCCTTATCTTCTAACCTTTTCTTTTCTGCAGGTGAGCCAACCAGAACTTCGTGTTAAAGATGGCTGGAGCCTCAAGTCTGCTTGCAGCTGTGTCGATTCTCTCAGCCTGTCAGCAAAGTTATTTTGCTTTTCAGGTTGGAAAAGCAAGGAAAAAATACAAAATCGCACCTCCAGCAGTTACTGGGTCACCAGACTTTGAGAGAGTCTATCGTGCACAACAAAACTGTGTGGAGTTTTATCCCTTATTTATGGTTACATTTTGGATGGCTGGGTGGTATTTCAACCAAGTGTTTGCTACTTTTCTGGGTCTGTTGTACATGTATGCTCGTCACCAGTACTTTTTTGGATATTCAGAAGCTGCTAAAAAGAGGTTGACTGGTTTCCGGTTGAGTCTGGGGATTTTGACCTTGTTGGCTGTTCTAGCCACCCTGGGCATTGCAAACAGCTTTCTGGATGAATACTTGGACCTCAATATTACAAAGAAACTGAGGCGTCACCTCTAACCTTTCCTCTTCCCTTCCCCTTAATTCACACTGAAGCTGTTTCCACCCTAAAGATAATATGGTATCAACTAGACACACTTTAAAAATAAGTCTTATTGTGAACAACTGTGTATCACTTTAAGAACTTTGTTTATACACCAATACAAAATAAAAGAAAATTTTAAATTAAAAAAAAAAAAAACGTGGTGCACATATCCAGGGAAGCATCTGCTTGTTGAAATATTTCAATTGATATTCCATCAATTCTTGGGGCTTAATTTTTTCCCCCAAGTCTTCAGGGCAGCCTGAATTTTGAAACACAAAAGGAGGAGAAACAGTTGTAAGCAGAAACTACTGATTAGAATGGGAATTGTGAAAAGTATAGATGTAGGAAAACTGGATGTCGTTAAGAAAGAAATGTAATGCATAAATATTTACATAAATACATAAGGTCGCTATGCATAGCAGATGACTCAATGGCACATCACAACAATAACATACAATGGCATCCACTTCCTAAATAACATGCCTCTGGAAACTCTATGAACTTTGATAAATGTCAATAGTTGTAGTGGGACTTCAGACCTTTTTTTCATAGGGTCACTACGAGTATGTTCATAGGGTCACTATGAGTTGTGCTCAACTAGAAGGCAATCAATAACAAGATTGACAAATAAGATGGATTGGCATTGGACATTTTGAATCAGACGATGATATGATCTATTATGCTGGAGATGAAAAGGTGAGAATAAACACGATCACTTTCATAATTCAAAAGGCCGTTTCTAGATCCATCTTGAAATACAATATTGTGAGTGACAAGATAATACCCATATACCTACAAAGAAGAACTGCTAATACCACTATCATTCAAATTTATGTACAGACAACCAGAGCCAAAGAGGAGGAAATAGATGATTTCTACCAACTTTTGCAGTCAGAAAGCTATCAAGCATGCAACCAAGATGCATTAATAACAATGGGTAACTGGAATGTGGAAGTTGGGAACCAGGAAGAAGAAGGATCAGTAGTTGGAAAACATCGACCTGATGACAGAAATGAGGCTGAGGATATTATGATAGAATTCTGCACAATCGATTATTTATTCACTGCAAACACCTTTTACAAGAAACACAAATGTAGGCTATACACATGGATTTTAGCTGATGATATGTACAGGATTCAAATCAATTGCATCTGTGGGAGGAATCATTGAAGAAGTTCAATATCAGCAGTCCAAACTAGGCCAGGTGCGGATTGTGGAACAGACAATCAACTACTCATATGCAAGTTCAAATTAAAGCTAAATAAGGTCAAACCATAACCACAGGAATAAAAATTTGATCTATCCCCCTGAATTTAAAAACCACCTCAGCAACAGGTTTGAGGCCTTGAACATTAACTAATGAAGGAAGACCAGATGATCTGTGGGAAGATATCTAAGAATATTGTCTATGAAGAATGTAAAAAGTTCATTACAAAGAAGAAGGAAGAAGAAAATATCAAGATGGATGTCAGAAGATACTCTGAATATTGCACTAGAGTGCTGAGATGTCAAAGCAAAGGGAATAAATCAAGACGTTAAGGAGCTGAATAGAAAATTTCAAAGGGCAGCTCAGGAAGACAAGGCAAAATATTATAATGATATGTGCAAGGAGCTGGAGTCAGAAAATCAAATGGGCCTAACTTGTTCATATTTCTTGATCTGAAGGAACTAAAGAACAAATTCAAGCCACAAACTGCTTAAGGATGCTATGGGCAGAATATTGAATGATTCAGGAAGCATTAAAAGAAGATGGGAGGAGAAGAGTCACTGTACTAAAAAGAATTGGCTGACACAGAAGAATTTCAAGAAACAATATTTTATCAAGAGGCAATGATATGTATACATACATGTTTGTTTAATTAATAGCATAGTTATAATTAATTTCTATTTTAGAAATATATAGGCTTTTTTGATCACTTGTTATAAATCTGAGAGCTAGACAATGAGTAAAGATGACAGAAGAAAAATGGATTTCTTTGAGTTGTGGTGTTGGAAAAGAGTACCAAATATCTTGTGGACTGTCAAAAGAATACATAGATAAGTCTTGGAAAAAGTGCAGCCAGAGTGCTCCTTGGGAGCAAAGACAGTGACAGGACCTGTAGTCTACATTATGATAGACAGAGAAAGGATTAAAGTTTTCAATTATTTAATCTTGCTTAGACCATTATATAGAGCAACCATTATTACCAACCATAAAGAAATCAGGATACATATTGCATTGGGTAAGTCTGCTGTCAGGGATTTCTCTAAGATATTGAAGAGCAATGGTGTCAGTTTAAAGACTAAGGTGTGTCTGATTCAAGCCATGGCCCTCTCAATCATCTACTATACATCAAAAAAGCTGGATAATGAATAAGAATGAGAAAAGAAGAGTTGATATCTTTGAGTTGTGGTGCTGGATAAGAGTACTGAATGCAATGAATCAGCAAAAGAACAAACAGATATGTCTTGGAAAAAGTGCAGCCAGATTGCTCCTTGGAGGCAAAGATGGTGAAGCTTTGTCTTTCATTGTTTGGACTTGTAGCTATTCCTTGGAAAGGGACATCATGCTTGGAAAAATGGAGTGTCAGCAAAGGAGATGAAGACCCGCAGTGAGATGGATTGACTTGGTAACTTTAGCAATGGACTCAAGTATGTCCGAAATTATGAGGTTGGCATAGAACAGGGCAGGATACAGGTCAGCTCTTCCTTCATAGGGCTACTATGAGTGGCGCTTGACTCGATGGCACCTATCAACAACAACAATGACTAAAAGAAACAGATATGTTTTGGAGACGGTGTAGCCAGAGTGCTCCTTAGAGATAGTGAAGCTTCATCTCACATACTTTGGATGTGTTTCTAGAAGGGGCTATTCCTTGGAAAGAGACAATATGCTAGGTAAACAACATCAGAGATAAAGAGGAAGACCCTTAAGGAGATGGATTTATGCAGTGACTCCATCCACAGACTCAAGTGTGTCAAAGATTATGAGAACGGGACAGGATAGAATAGAGTTTAGGCCTGTTGTTCGTACAGTTGTTATGAGTCATATTCACCTTGATGGCACATAACAACAACAACAACAAATAGTGTGGAAGAGAATTTAAATATAAATTTTCTAAAGTTATTCAATGGCATTGATCAACTTGTGTCCCTCAGAAAATATGTGTTAACTTGGCAAAGAGGCAATGATTAGTATTACACAATTATCCTATCTGTTGTGATTGGTAAACTCTATGATGTTAATGAGGCAGGATTAGAGGTAGATATATAAGAATATAATCATTGCTCTTGATGTGATTTGAAATGTGATTAGCCAATCAGTTGTAAGAAGACTGGAGTGAGATGCAACACCTTTAATTAGGTAAGAGTCCTGAACTGATACATCTACAGGGAGTCTTTGGGGGGGGGGGGCAGGGGTGTATGTGTGTGTGTGTGAGTGTGTGTGATCTGCATCACCTTATGTCTTAAAGCTACACAAATCTGAAGTGGGACAACTTTAGTCTCTCCAAGAAAGAAGAGACAGTCATGGAGGGAGTCCTTTCAACCAAGATTCCTGGGAGGGGAAACTCAGAAACAGAAAATCCACAGAGAGGCATCCGAGAACAGCAGCTTGAGCTCATCTAGGTTCCTGATTGTGAAGGAATAAGTCCCTCTTACTAAAGCCATTCACTCACGGTATTTCTGTTAAAGCAGCAGTATATAAACCAATACATTCAGATAGTAAGAGATGCAGGTAGAACTTGAACCCTGTGTGCTGATTTTGGAATCTCTGGATGGTACAAGTTGCCCTGTAAATTTTTCACCTAAATCTCTCTCTCTCTCTCTCACTCTCTCTCCCCACACATACACACATGAAACAAAATGCCTTAAAATTTTCTTTCAAAATGCACAAGAAATTGTAAATACGTACATATTACAGTTTTCTTACATACTTTGGGCATATTATAGGAGAAGCCATTCCTTGAAAAAGGATATCATGCTTGGAAAGGTGGAAGGCAAGCAAAAAATAGGAAGATCCTTAACAAGATGAATTGTCATAGTGACAGGAGCAAAGGGCTCAAGTGTGTCAGAAATGATGAGGATGGCACAAGACTGTTTAGATCTGTTGTTCATAGGGTCACTATGAATAGTACTATATAACATCTACAAACAGCTGTCTTAGGCCCATTTATTTCATTCTTGATATACTTTCTAATTCATATAGCTGCAAAGTTGTTATAGTCAGAATAAACTATTCAGACATATTTTATGAAAATGTTCAACAAAATACTTTTTTAAAAAAGAACATTTCAGTATTTAACTATTCAAGATTTTATAGCAAAACATGTACTTGGGAAAGTTTAATTTCAAAGTACTTAAGCAGTATTGAACTTATTTAGTTTAGACATGTTTTAATCTTCTTGCTATTATGTTGACATGTTACAATTAAGGACCTGCTTAAAATTCCATTAAATCTTCTATTATCAGAGGTTTATAACTGCCACACAATTTTTTTTTTTTCTCTCCTGGTGGAAACTTGCTATATGAGGTCTCAGTCTAGAGCCAATTAAAAAAATTAATCATTAAATAATTTGTGTTTGGACACAGACTTTGCATTTATATAATTTTTGGACTCAGACTATACTGCTCGATGCTCATATTCTAAAAAAGGGTTTTGAAATGTTCATGCAACAGTCATAAAAAATAGTTGAGAAATTGCTTCCTCATTTTATAATGCAGAATGATACATATTCTCTTTTCCTCCTGAATGTCCAGTGCCTTCCTGTTCAGTATTTTTTTGTTGTTCACCATTGTTGTTGTTATGAATCATTAAGTCAAACAACTCATTGAGGACCCTCCAGTGGTTTTTCAGAG